TTTATATATCAAAATAAAGTTTTTCAATTAATCAATTTTATCATTTCTCATACATTTATTTTTTTCTCATTTATATTGTAAATTTCAGATGGAGTTTACTCTAATGAAGAGAAGATTAATATTATACTAGATATTGTCGGCAGTCCCGATTTTATATATATTGACTATCCATACGCTATCTGATCCATATGCTATCTGATCCATACGCTATCCGATCCATACGCTATGCGATCCATATATATCCGATCCATACGGTTGTTCTTCGGCTGAGGTCCCCATTAACTTGTATAAGGAAACAGACAGTGTAAATTCTGTACAATCGTCTCTGAAGTCTCGAACTATGTGGGTAATCCTATATGGTTGATTTTAAAAGTCGACTTTGCGCTTAAACTCAGTAATTAGATTTCATTAAAACGTTTTATATGTGTCCAATGAATCCGAAACAAAATTCCACAAAACTGCATTCTCAGTTCAACAAACATACATTTCCTGTCACTCTCTTTAATCAAAGGGGCACTTCAAAGTCGACCAATTAAGTCTTACAAATTGATGCATGTTTTCAAAGCAGTCTGGATCTATGTGAGGTATAGGTGCCGTTTCGGGAAAGCAGCTCACTTTGACGATTTGACGATTTCTGAAATTTCACGGGCAACGTCGGGCACTTTAGTTGGTATTCTATAAAATCCTTCTATATGTTCAAAACTCTGCTATTCTTTCTATTAATTTTAATGCACATATTCAAATTGAAAATTTTGCTTCCAATATATACAATTACATTGTGTCCCCCAAAAAAGTGTAAAAACGAATTTATAGACCTGTTCGTGCATTTTTTCATTTGGGTCCTATTTTAAAGATTTTTAAGTGACTAAAAAGGCTCTTAAAAACCATAAGCTCTTTTTTTGAGACACCCTGCATATTCCCAGAGTTCTGTTTGTTTTAACTTTAAGTTATTCAACAATAAATTCAAGTTTAAGCTACTTAATAGAGAGATAATATCGAATATTCACAAACTTTTCAAATTTATTTATTAATCTACTAGGATTTCAGAGCGCGTCGTGCCACTTTTTCTAGAAACAATTTTACCTTTTTCGTGTTTTTTTTATGCCGCCATTTTTATTAACATTATGAATTTGCACACAAAAAAAAATCCGAAAAGATTAATAAGCGAAAAAAAATTGCCAAAATTCTTCAATTTCAATGGTCCATTTCCTTTCCTGGGGGCTAGGTGAGATACCACAAAAATTAGGGCCCAAACGGGTTTGTCGTTTGCTGACTACAACAAAATAAAAACAAACAAGCTGAATACTTTAGATTTATATCGGATTATCAATAGAATGAAGCAAGCGTCGGCGTATTATTTTTTTTGCGAAAATGAGCGATTGTTGGCTTATGTTTGTTTGTATCTATATTTATTGCCAAAAAAAATGTAGAAACTCACAAAATCATGCATGGTCAGAATTTAAGGATGTTACTCCGAAACAATTTTTATTTTGTAATTTTCAAAATTCGCCAAATGAAACGGAAATATAAAAAATCCTTTTTTGTTTTGTTTTTGTACGGAGAAAAGACTTGTCGATCGAGAGTAAATTAGAATCATTGAAAAGCTAAAACTATGAAAAGGCACCGTCAGCTGTAGACAGAAAGAGGAGGTACAAAGGAATTGAGTTTTTGTCACCAACTCTACTTTTCTGATCTCTATATCTTTGCTACCTAATGTCTGAGACCTTTGATATTTCAAACTGTGAATTTTGTTAGACCAAATAGATTTTAGAATAGATGCCAACGTAGAATTTGTACACTCTCAGTACAGCTGTATTCTGACATAACAAGTGTCAATTCAGTTTTTGTGTCGGACAAAATTATTAATGATAATAATCATTTTAAAATAAAAGAGCTTATCTTACAGTGAAATAGGTGCAATTTTATGCGTAATTTATTTTCTGTTATTAAACTTTTTTTATTTAATCTTGGAAAACATGTCAACTAATGTGACGTCTTGTATAGATGGTCCATTTCTCTGTTGCCACCTATTGAACTTGATAATCTGTGTTAGACCAAATAATCTACGTTTGAAATATCAAAGGTTTACATAATCAGATTGTAAAGATATAGGGATTAGACAATTTGAGTTTGTGACAAAAACTCAGTTCCTTTATGCGATATAACTGGTACAACAACTTTGTGATGACCTTGTATCTCCTCTAGTTTTCGTTTAACATACAATTTTATTTTCGTTCACAACCATGCAGGATAGAAGGAAATTATTTAAATATAAATAATACACTAAACACGAAATACCTAAAACTCACTTTCAGATATATTTTTTATTTTTTGAGCTAAACATTTTTCCATCTCAAAAATAAGAGGGGCCTAGTATACCCTTGAAGTCTGCTTTAATATTTTCAATACGGTTTTTATTCTTCCTTGGAATAAAACCACTTGATAAGTTAACTGGAAGCGATAAAAAATAAAAATAATTTTAACAATTTCGAGAAAATCATAAAGCTGTGCGTTAAGTTGATGTTAGTTTGAAGTTTGGAAAAAATACATTTTAATCAGAAATGTTATTTTAATATAATTTTAAAGATAAGTGTTCAGACTTCACTGGACCCAAGGGGGGGGGGGGGATAATAAGTAGAAACAAATGTAATTTTATTTTGGAAAAAGGATCAATCATTAAATGATTATTCGTTGTTAAGATTCTTATTTCAACTACTTTTCTTCTAGAGTTACATCTAATTTATCCAACCACTCTTTTATATATAATGTTTAAATATAAATATTTACATTTTCGTTCTTTCTTATTAACCGACTTTTTCTTATTATCCAACTTTTTCTTATTATCCAACTTTTTCTTATTATCCAACTTTTTCTTATTATCCAACTTTTTCTTATTATCCAACTTTTTTTATAATATGACTTTTTCTTATTATCCAACTTTTTCTTATTATCCAACTTTTTCTTATTATCCAACTTTTTTTATAATATGACTTTTTCTTATTATCCAACTTTTTCTTGTTATCCAACTTTTTCTTATTATTCTTTCCAAGCAAATATCGATTTCACTTTTTCAAATGTTTCTCATAAAGTTAGATTTTTTCTTTTCCCCTTTCATTCCTTCTTATATGTTTCATTTTCTCTATTTGTTTTCTTCCTGTCGCATTCTCTTTCATGGTGTTCTTGCCTTTCCCTCTCGGAGACTAGGGCTGGGAACGTTCAGCCTTTTTTCAAGTCGTTCATTAATAGTTAGTTAAAATTGTTCAAAAAAACTTTCTGCAGTAGCCTTTAGCTTCTTAGCTTCTATAGCTAAGAAATGAACGTTCCGTTCATTAACGATATTTTCCGTTCTTTCTCAAAGTTTCCGTTCAATGTCAATTTTTTCAATGGCGTTATCGGAAAATGTTTTAGAAACGATACCAGCCGTTGATGATTATTTCATTTTAACATAACTGGAGAAGTTTGAAGACAATGTTTAAAAACACCAAAACCCTTTAAAAAACATCGAATTATCTACATAAAATTTGATTTTTATTTTTAGATGCATTTCTAAACCGTTTTTTACACCGACACCGTTATTTTTTTTTCTAGATGCCGGCTATTTCCTTTCCTTAACGATGTAAAAATTAACGATTTGGCTGTTGGTTATCGGAACGTTGCCCAGTCCTACTGGAGACATGTTTTAAATGCCCTTCTGAAAATGAAGAAAATATTCCGCAATGCGTAGGAATTATGCTTTCAAATTAAACTCCGCTACACTTGATTAAAGGGTAAACGTTGAATTAATATTATTTTTAAATGTGGCTCATAATAACCAATTCTGCTGTAGGGTTAGTACACCGTATACAATCCTACTGTAGGATTAGTACCCCATATACAATCCTACTGTAGGTTTAATACACCGTATACAATTCTACTGTAGGGTAAGTACACCTTATACAATCCTACTGTAGGATTAGTACACCATATACAATCCCACTGTAGGATTAGTACACCGTACACAATCCCACTGTAGTATTAGTACACTAAATACAATCCTACTGTAAGATTAGTACGCCATATACAATTCTACTGTAGGATTAGTACACCATATACAATCCTACTGTAGGATTAGTAAAGATAACCATTTAATAATATTTTAAATCTTAAATCTCTGGGAAGTCTTACAGGTTTCAAGACAAATATAAATAGAATAATGCTAAAATGAAATCTAAAGTTGAATAGTTGCCTTCGTTTCAAAGTAGAATGTGTTTTAATCCAAAAAAATAAAAGCAAAAAACCCCAAGGCGGTTTAGCAAATAGCAATCACTACTTTACTCATTAAAAAAATATGGACATCCCACATCAGATATCTTCGTTTCAATGATCCATAAAAAAATGTTCGTTTAGGATAAAAATATAAATTTAAGTATATTCATGTGTTTATACATGTGTTAAATGAAAATTTAAAGAATATTTTTGAGAGGATTTTAAACTTATTTAATTTAATTACGAAATTATTAAAGATTTTTGGTAAAAGATTTGTGTCTCAAATTTAAAATTCATTGAATTAAATTCTGTCTTGGAATCCAATATAAATTTTGTTTTTCACTTTAATTTCTTTAAAAGAATTATCAGAGACTAGAATAAAGAAGTTTTTTAATTGTATTGATATTATTTATCCTCAAAAAACTAGACTCTAATGTCGGCCTAATACTCATCGTTTGATCAAAATGACCCTTAGCAAGAACTAAGTTTTTTTGGCCACAAACTCAAGTTTTCGAATCCCTATATCTTTGCAACCTGATGGTGACATCGGTTTGTAAACATATAAGGATTATAATTCAAAAACACTTTTGCAGTTTCTCTTTCTTTTTTGGACTAACACAAAAATCATACCTTAAAATATTTCAATCTTTAAAGTGGTGCAAAAATGTAAAAAAAAAACATATACAAATGGCACTATAACATCATAGTATCAAGAGCATGAATCTTATAGTTCTCTAAATAAATTATAAAAAAAATTTAAAAATTTTTCGTTTTATTTCTCAAATAATTTACTTGACAAATTCACTCTATTCAAGGGAACTCTAAACATTTCACAAACTGACTTGGGTAAGTCCTATGTGGTCACAAATATGTCTTTCAAAGCCTTCGTTAACCGTCCTTTTTGCACTTGAGTCTCAGATTTCTTTTCTGCATGTAGTCTTAGCAGTCTAAAGGATACATAGTACCCTTTACCCACAAAGTTTGTTGCTTAGGCCTGGGCCACAACGGGCTGAGCGGCGTAGGTCAGACCTAAAAATAAAATGCTATTGTTAAAATCATATTAGCAATCGAACCAGTTGAAAATTAATGTTTTTTATCTTGAAAAGAAGTTCTGTGAAACTTACCGAAGGGGGCAGCAGCATAGTTGTAAGCAGCAACGGGGGCAGTGGCATAGTTGTAAGCAGCAACGGGAGCAGCAGCGTAGTTGAGAGCAACAGGGGCAGCAGCATAGGTGGCAGGAGCATAAGCAGCATGGGCATAGGCGACAGGGGCAGCAGCATAAGCAATGGGGGCAGCGGCTCCCTCAACATGGATGTAGGGCTCAGCAGCCTCCTCAGTGTGGATGTAGGGCTCAGCCTCGATTTCCTCATGAACATAGGGCTCAGCAGCGATCTCAACCTCAGCCTCTACGGGCTCCTCATGGACATAGGGTTCGGCCTCAATTTCTTCATGGACATAGGGTTCAGCCTCAACTTCTGTGTGGATGTAAGGTTCAGCCTCGATCTCTTGGTGTGCGTAACCCTCAGCAATAGGGTAGGCTTGAGAGTAGGCGACAGAAGCATCGAAGGTGTTGGCATAGAGTCCAGCAACAGGGGCAAATTGAGCAGCAATGGGCTGAGCAGCATAGGCGTATCCAGGGGCGGCAGCAGTGTATCCGTAAGCTAAGGGGTAGGAGTATGCTCCACCGTAGTAAGCTGCGGGGAGAACAGCAGCAGAAGCTGAGGCAACAAAGGCAAGGACAGCAACCTAAAAAAATCAACCAATAAATAGCAATAATATTTTGTTATATTTAGACTCTATAAAAGTTTTCTCCAATTTTTATTTATGGGCAACAAAATTTGTTGTTTTTTATAAGAAAGCCAAAAAAAGAGAAAGAAGAACTTACGAAAGACTTCATGTTTAGCTACTAGTGAGTAGAGTGCAACTGACGGTTTACTAACGGTGTTGGTATTTATACCTCGGAGAGTTGTGGGTGGCTGGCAGGACAGGGCGGGGCTGGGGGAAGGTCATACGCCCAGGCGTAGAGCTCTCCAACCCTCTTTCGGTGAAATTTGCAAAAATGGGTAAAATCTTTAGCATTGCAAGCAGAGAGAGGAATCAGGCAACACGGGATTAAGACTTTCGTAACTCTTTAAACCCTTCTTTATCTTCTATATACCCGTTTACATAGTTTATATGCTTTCTTCTATAAGATAGTAAGATTTACGCTTCAATTTTATTCACGAAATCTTAGACAGAAAACAAATTGAATCTGAAAATGTTGCTAAATGATCTTACATTTCCTCCAATATAATATCGTNCCCCCCCCAACTCTCGCGGTTTACTAATATTATTTACTAATATTTTAATAATCTAACTGTGTTGGGTTCAAAGATAAAAAATAACTGTTTCCCAAATTACCACATATTTCTTCATAACATTCTAGATATCACATACACAAATTCAATTCTAATCTGAATGTTGATATTTTTTAACAAACAATGACTGAAAATATGGGAAAAAATTGTTCAAATGCCAGCTTCAGATAATATAAAAATGCATGCACTTAAACAGGACTTAGATTTTTAATTGTCAAAACTGCAATGTAAATTATTCTTTGTATAGATACAACCAGTAACATTGTTTTAGTAAAATGTCCACTGTAGATGTTGAAAGAAAAAACAGCAAGTTCACATATTCAATTTTTTATTTCCAACAATAAATATATTCAGTGTTTGTAACAGCAGAACTCAATTTAGTTTCACAAACTGACTAGGTGTAGTCCTATGTGTTCACTAGAAACCATATTTGTCGCGGGGATACTCTTGGTTGGGTCTTATGACTTGGATTGCAAATAGAGATCAAGAATGACTTAGATGATCTTTCTGTTTCTGCTTAATAAGCTTGGACGTTGTAGGCATGAGCTCCAGGGAAGTTGGTGTAGGTTGCAACAGCAGGGGCGGCCGCAGCATAGTTGTATGCAGCAACAGGAGCAGCGGCGTAGTTGTAAGCGGCAACGGGAGCAGCGGCATAGTTGTAAGCGGCAACAGGGGCAGCAGCGTAGTTGTAAGCAGCAACGGGGGCAGCAGCGTAGTTGTAAGCAGCAACAGGGGCAGCGTGATAAGCAGCAACTGGGGCAGCAACAACCTCTACGGGCTCCTGGTGGATGTAGGGCTCAGCGGGGACCTCAACATGGACATAGGGCTCATCAATGACCTCCTCATGAACATAAGGCTCAGCGGGGATCTCCTCATGTACATAGGGCTCAGCGGGGACCTCGTTCTCAAGGTAGGGCTCAGCGGGGACCTCAACGTGGATGTAGGGCTCTGCAGCGGGGTAGGCCTGGGAGTATGCAACGGAGGCATCATAAGTTCCAGCATAGAGTCCAGCATAGGGGGCAACTGAAGCAGCCAGGGGCTGACCAGCATAACCAAGAGCTGCAGGAGCATAGTTCAGACCAGCATATCCAGCATATCCAGCATATCCATAGTTGGCATATCCATATCCAGCAGGAAGGACAGAGGCGTTAGCCATGGCGACACAAGCAAGGGCAGCGACCTGAGTAATAAATAATATAATATTTTACATATATTGAAAGGAATGATATTTATATGTTTGTTTGTACTTTTTTAATTTATAAAAATATCTAATTGTTAAATCACTTACAAAGGATTTCATAGTGAAATGTATGAATTGCTACTACTGTAGTACTCAACTGAGGACATGGACACCGGTCAGCGCTTTTATACGCATTCGCAAATTTGACCTTTTAATTCATGCGTCAGCGTCGGGGCGTATTTCTGACATTTCAATGAAAACTACTTACGCGTTTTGCGTAGGGTGCCGGTTTTAGAACAATCACGCAACAGGGTTCACATATACGATGAAACAGATAAATAGCTTTCTTCCAGACTTTCACTAGTTCTATTTTATGTATTTCTGTTTTAGTTGTCACATCTAGGATAAAACAGATAAATAGATTTCTTGCAGACTTTCTTTAGTTCTGTTTTCTATATTTCTGTTTTAGTTGTCACATATATGATAAAACAGAAAAATAGATTTCTTGCAGACTTTTTTTAGTTCTGTTTTCTATATTTCTGTTTTAGTTGTCACATATATGATAAAACAGATAAATAGATTTCTTGCAGACTTTCTTTAGTTCTGTTTTCGATATTTCTGTTTTAGTTGTCACATATATGATAAAACAGATAAATAAATTTCTTGCAGACTTTCTTTAATTCTGTTTTCTATATTTCTGTATTAGTTGTACCAACGAGGTTATAGTGCATAGAGTGATGATGTACGCTAATCCTTTACTAATTGTATAGGCAATCAACTATACCGAGAGCGTACTGCATATTTGTTTATTATAAGTTGATTCTGGCCTAACCTATAGTATATCAATATTAGTAAACAATTGTAAGTGTATAATACTAAGCACACAGGTAGAGAACTATCATCCCCCCTGGTTGTCACATATAAGAGATTTCTAGTAGATTTTCTTCAGTTCTGTTTTATATATTTTTGTTTTAGTCAATTACAAATCTTACTTCGGTTACTTTCATATTTTTAGTAATTGCGTTGTTAACAATAATGTTTAGAGCATTTTGTACACTGTATAATGCATTTTGTACACTGTATAATGCATTTTGTACACTGTACAATGCATTTTGTACACTGAACAACGCATTTTGTACACTGTACAATACAGTCAGAAACAAAATGATAAATTCTTTAAATCGTTAAATATTGTTAACAAACATAGCGTCTTTAGTAATATCCTAAGAACTTCAGGAGTTGATCGGGACCTATAATCGAGTTCTATCTCATGTTCCTGTCTCGAGAAATTAATATAAAACTATGTCAAAATTATACCAAAACTTATAAATATATATACATAAGATTTGGTATAACCGTATAATAATCTAAGTTTTAAAGTAATACAAGCGGAGACACGTGACAATGAAACTGCACTGCCATTGGTGGGCCACTTCTGGTCAAGTGATACGGTCGTATTAATATTATCAATTATATCTATTAAAAATGAATAGTTATTAAATTCAAATAATAATAAAAGCAAACCTGAGTTTTTCAGGCTCCTCTGGGATATTGTAGTATTCAGATTGGTTGCATATTTGCTGAATATGATCTGTTTAAAACTTAGATTTGACATTTATTGGAGATCAGACAACTAAACAGGTAGACAGGCCAAATATACATTAATATGGATTTGAAAGTTAAAGTTTGTTGCAAGTGTTCAGTCTCTAACCTTGCAATCCTGTTTTAAAATGAAAATGCATAAGAAAGCACGCAAGTTTCTTGTTCTAAATTGAGTTTAAAATACAACTTTTATATATTATACAATTCTGAAATCCTCATATTTGTAGCTTCAAAAAAGTATTGGTAAGGTCAAACGCTTCAAAGTTGTCCCAGTCTGGGTTTCTTCGGTTTTGTTGGGTATATTGGACGGAGTGGATACATTTCGTCAAGTTACATTTTGGTCAACCTTACATTTCGTCAATCTTACATTTCATCAATTTACAGTTTGGTCAACCTTGCATTTAGTGAATCTATAGTAACCTTACATTTCGTGAACTTACAGTTTGGTCAACCTTACATTTCGTCAATTTGCAGTTTGGTCAACCTTACATTTTGTCGATTTACAGTTTGGTCAACCTTAAATTTCGTCAATTTACAGTTTGGTCAACCTTACATTTCGCCAATTTACAGTTTGGTATAACTTACATCTCGTCAATTTACAGTTTATCAACCTTACATTTCGTCAATTAATATAGTTTGGTCAACCTTACATTTCGCCAATTTACAGTTTGATATACATTACAGTTCGTCAATTTATACATTTAATCACTATTACAAAATCATTTGGTAAACATTTGCATATCCTAATTCCTAATTCACATGACCAACTTTAATTTAACTTGGCAACTTATTTTGTCCAATGATTTGTTATCAAAAATGTTGGATATCGATATGATTGTACACTCTGTTATAAATATGTAAATATGTTACTAAATATCATGTTTCAGTTAAATTCTGAAAATTTTTCCATGGTTTTCCTGCAGCAAAGAATTACGCAAGTTTCTTTTGTAAAGAAACTATATAATTGAAATAAATTGATGAATTGATTTCTAATTCATACGTGATCAGACAAAGCTTTTATGGGTACCTTTGTGAATCTGACTTGGCACTCTATCAATGGAGGGTCATTTAAAATTACTTTATTTATATTGGTTGGTTTTCTAGATGAGAGGAGGAAATCTTATCTAAGTTATAATATCCAAGGATAATTATGTGATTCCAAGTCACCCCGGACTAAAGTATTTAAGAAAGACTGAAAAATTATGTTTAATAGGAGAAATTGTGATCGAAAGTCACAGCTTTCTGGAATATTGACAGAACCATTAAATCCACGGAAAGTACAGAGGGTCGAGGTAGACTTTAATTCAATTGTGTCTTAAATGACGTTTAACTCAAATCAGCTAAATTATACAAGGTTAAAATGCTTTTTTCTAGTAACAATCTTGGCTTATTTTGCTTTTGCATCCATGCAAGCCTTTCTTTTTAAAGGTATTATACAATAACAATAACAATTTTCTGATTTTCCAGTTTTGATAAGATTTTTTTTACCGAACTATTTTAGCACAAATCACTATAAATTCCGGTTCATTCCAAGTACCAGGCCAACTTTTAATCAGCTAGAGCAAGCTGTGAGAACAAATACAGAATATGTACGCCAAATAAATATTCCCATTTTAGTAAAATTTTTTGTAAAATAAATTGGCCCTGATCTAGCCTTTCATTTAAATAACTTTCAAATTGATAAAATTAAAATTTTGAAAATCTTGAATTTTTGTCAAGAACTACACCAACTGGGAATTTAGATTCACGAATGAATGACGATCTTACAGTCCTATGTTCATTGAGCCTCTCTGTATCTAAATGAATTAGCATAGTTTATAAATAATTCTGGTTTGATCAGATCCACCCATTGTCAGAAGTCTGTAGACAGTTAGGACTGTACAAATAATTTAGTTCCATTCTAGTTTTTAAAACTTAAAATAGTTTTCGTTGAAAATGTCTGAATTTTCCTTAATTTTAATTTTAGATCTTGCAATATAACAAAATCTTTTTTTAGATATTGAGATTTTATTTTAAATGTAAATCTCAAATCTGCTTCTCGCAAACCAAACCAATCTCGCTTCTACCAGTACCAACCCTCCTCCACTCACAAGCCTATCTTTTACTAAACCCCCGCCCCCTCCCACCCCTTCTATCAACTTCCTAACCAAGAATCAACATCCTACCGAGAAAAATTCATACCGAGAGATTATTTAAATTCCCCTCTGATATATATTCTATTCTCTATGGTTCTACCTTGTAAAAAATAAATAAAACCAACGAGGTAAGTACGACTATATTGTGTTTTGTTTTATTGGTGTTAATACACGGCACACTGCACATCTTGATTTCAATTGCAAAATCAACCAGTAAATGTGAACGATGAATGTAGAAATTTGCAAGAAACTAGACTTATGTTATATTATTGTTCCTATCTTACTTGCATATGTAATATGTATAGTAAGTAATGTTCCTTAATCAATACTCATTAATCAAAATTGTAATATTGTTCCTAATTTTCATGCATATAAATATAACTAGTAATTTCCTTTTGTTCTTAACTTGCGTAATGTTCCTATTATTGTTCCTATTCCTAACATTGTGTCCTACCCTATAGACCCTAAATCCTTGTCCTAATCCTTTATGTTTGTTCCCAATTCCTAAACAATCTTTTTATCGTTCCTTAGATTATGTATTTCTGATTTCAATTATTGTTCTTTGTTCGTTCTTAGTGCATGTATGAAACTCCTAGTTTTTTATTGTTCCTAGCTGGCTCTTGGTTCAATTGTCAATGTTCCTGTTATAATTTCAATTTTATAGTTTTTTTTTGTTCCTCAATCCTCTATTGATGTTCCTAATCTAGTACTTTCTGCTTTGTTCCTAACTCATCCAAAGTTCGTGTTTTGTATTGTTCCTTTTTTATGAACTTATAATGTTCCCGATTCTTTCTATTTTGACCTTGTTCCTAAAATCCTAAATTGTAATTGCTTAGCTGACCTGTTGGCTTTGTTCCTTTTCTCAAGTACGATATTTGTTCCTATCTATGATGTGATTTACCAAGTGCTCAACTAGCACTTTTGCCCGACAGGCCAACCCCCCCCCCTAGTTGCGCCTCTCCAACCGTACCTGTTATTTGTTAATGTTCCTTGTTTCATGTATGATGTATGATGTTTATGTACATTGTAAAGTACCTCCACTATCTTAATAAACCATAATGTATGATAAGTTAAAAATCTAGTTTTTTAGTCTTAAGTCGTTAATTTTCACTCTTATTGAGTCTTTTAAGTCAAAAAGAATTTTATCCTACGGCGCGTTTTGTTTCTTCATAAATCAGGATTTTTGTATCCACGTTAATCTAGAACCCCCCCCTCACTTAAATCCTTTATCCGCCCCTGTGAGAAAGGTCAATGTTACGGTTAGCATAACCTGGAGAAATGCATAGATTCTAATCAGTTCTCCATCGGACGGGTGTCCCAGTATATATGATGTTTTTATGTGAGCCTTCATGAAAAGATAGCAATACCCGATTCACAACGGTACTCGGCCTTGAACCTTTATCTGATCAATAGTGTGGAAGATATTGTTGTCTTCATAGATTTAAAAGTATTAAATCTAATAA